AGAGAGAGAGAGAGAGAGAAGACTTATGATCTTTCTTTTGCAGGGGGCTATTTAAATACCATAAAGAGAGTGGTCAAGTTTCTCTGTCCAGCTGACATAATCCCTCCATACATAGATGTGGATTTGAGTGAGTTAGATGTTGGGCAGAAGCTGTTGCTCAAAGACCTCAAAGTTCACCCTGCATTGCAGCTTTATCAACAAGACCCCGAAAACCCCGTGTGCAAAATCATGGGATCTAGGGCTTCTCAAGAACAGAAGAAGAAGTGAGTGCTCCTCTATTTTTCAGGAACAGTTCCGCCTCCTTTTTTGCTTTTTTCTTTTTTGAAGTTTTGTATCTCTCAAATAGTCTTTAATTCTAGCTTCTCTGGCCTAGTAGCTGGCTAAAAAAAAAAAGTGTCATTTTCTTGGATAGTAGATCTTTAACTATTTATTAGGGATTTATGTATGTATGTAAAATAGGCTGCTGTTGGACTTCTTCTTATCAAAGAAAGAATCATGAAACTGCTTAATCCGACATGTCGATGCCTTTTATGAAAGCTAATCTTATTATTATTATTATTATTAAGGGAAAGGTTTATATGCTTCTCCTACGGTATAGAAGTTCTATCTTCCTCCTACCATCCAGCTCTTCAATTTTGATCAAGAGAGCCAGGCACCGTTTGATCTTAGATCCGAAGTTTCGAAGTATTTTATTTTTAGTTTTTTTTATACAAATTGTATGAATATAAAATTTGGTACGTACCATCTTCTCATTGGCGTGCACCTATAAAAAGTATTAAAAATAATTTTCAATAAAATATAATGACCAAAATAGCCTTTGAAACTTTTAGGGGTATTTTGGTCATTTTATTTTACTGAAAATATTGTTTTTATATTTTCTTGCTAGTGTGAGTTTAATAGGGGAATGGATGTCCAAAATTTAGTATCAAAATAGTTTATAAAAAAAAAAATAGTGTAGAGATGTGACATTGTGATTGGGGTAATCTTAGCCTTCCATTCAGAATAGACGGTCGGATGAGGAAGACGATGGAACTTTTATGCTGTAGAGGAAACATAGAAAGCTTGTCCAAATGATATAAGTAGTTTAGAAATCACGTAATACACCTTGCACAGCAAAAGAACAGAACAGAAATTGTACTCTTTACATTTTCCCTTCCAATATCAGCGACCATCTTATAAACTTGCTACATCATCAAAAACTCAGAAACTCCAGCAAAGCCAAACACATTTTAACTGGAACTCTCTCTCTCTCTCTCTCCAACTTTGCTATAAGACAACATGGATCAGAAGAAAGAATTGCCAGAAATGGTGAGACTCCCACCATGCAAATTTGTCGGAAAATTCATATCCGGCAATAGGTCATTGCTGGAAATCACTCCTCCAGCCAAAGCCCCTGCCCCAATTCCCATGCCAAAGCCGGGTCGCAGCCCTCCTTGCGTATGAGAAGGAAGGGGTATGTAATTTTCAGGCAAGCCATTTGGGTTAGGATAGTACTCTAAATTTGGTGGTGGCGGCCTTGGAGGCAAACCATTTGAGTTAGGAAAATACCCTAAATTTGGAGGTGGTGGTCTTGGATTTGTAAAGCTTTGAGGCAAGTTTGGTGGGGGATTATAGGGGAAATTGGAGGGTGGATAATTTATTGGCTGGTTTACTGGAGCTGGATAGGCTGCCATGGGTTCATCTTCACCTGCAGTAAATGAGCAAAGAGAAATTAATTATGTCGTTTCATTCTCCATTTTTTCTCTCTCTCTCTCTAACTTGGTACTACTATCATAGTTGTCAAGACTGAACTGGGCCAGCTAGTCCGACTACTAATCGGTGCTTCAAGGCTTCAGTTGGTCTCATTCAAATAAAAAACTGAGCTTAATTGAAAATCAATTAAATTAATATTTGATCAGTTTTAACTGGTTAGACATGTCAGTTTTGTCTAGTAAATACAAGGTCGGGCAAGTTTTTCAGCACATTTTATATTTTTAATTCTTAAGGTCCAACTAGTTCAATTTTTGATTGGATATGTTTTAACTAGATTAAACCCCATCATTTATGTAATTAGACTATAAAGAGTATTGTTATAGTAATATAATGCCTTTTTTTTATAGTCTCTCTCTACCTCTTGGTAGCGCTACTATTGCGAAAACTTTCATAATTGAACCCGCAAACTCACATAGAGAAGAGGTGTCATCTGTATGGGGTTGGAAAATAGGTGGTTAGGGGGGCAATATAACGTACACCCTTATTAACTTACGAGAGATTGTGAAGTGTCTTTAATAGAATAGAATAAAAAACCAAGATTAATGTAACCGACTCTAATTGATTGAAAAAAAAAACGTAAAATAATGATAATGATGAGAGATATTAATAAGAAAAAGCATTTGATCTTTACCAAAACTACACATTTTCCTATCATGAGCAAGATTCATCCATTGTCTTTCTCCATAAACAAACTAGAAAACAATGCACAAGGACAACCCTAGTTTGAGTCTTTGAGAAACTATTTAAAGTTGCAGGCTTTTGTTGGGTTCATTGTTCACAAACTCGGCCGGTCCAACTCGAAACCGGCCGGTCAAATTGGAATTGGGCACTGACCGATCGGTTTTGGCTAGTTTAGGCCATTTGGCAAAGTATTTAAAAAAAAATCGAAATAATTTATATAAAATCCAAAAAACATAGAATTCATGTGTAATGTGTTTTGGTCACGAATATTTATTTTTACACTTTTTCATATTTTTAAAATTTTAAAAATACCCTTAAGCATAGATCGAATTTTTAAAATCCATTTTTTCACTAATTTTTTATTTCATTTGGATGTGATTTATTTAATTATACTATAAATATGCTTTTCATTTTCTTTAGATTTTTTATATTTTATTTATTTATTTAATATTTTTTGGACTGCCCGAGACCTGCCCAATTAGACCGGTTGAACCGGCTGGTTTATCGGTTACTTGGAGCCGACCCTTGGCCAGTTCGGTTTTTCAAACACGGGTCAGGTTCTCACAATCTCAAACAATAGAAGACCTAGAAAACTCTTAACTTTTTTCATGAGTAATGTATTTGCAAATAAACTCAATCAAAGAAGATTACCTCTATCACCAAACCCCTGATCTTTCTCATCAGAAATCCTTATCGAAACATCGATGAAGCCCTTTGGCTTATCCGACCCTCGTTTCCGAAGCTGAAAACTCCCGACCTCGAAAACCTCGAAGCCAATATTCTCATGATCCTCATTAATTTTTGCTAAGTATTTGGCAAAGAATTCTTTGAGTGGCACACTAGCAGAACCATGCAACTTCTCAGTGAGGAAAAAAGGGTCCCTAGTGTAAACTTCAACGTTGAGCATCAAAGCATTTGGGTCGGATTCTGACGAGTCGATCAGAGCCGTAAACTTGGTGTTCCAAACCGGGTGCGTGTCGCCGATGCCATCGATCTTGGTGATGTATTTACGGTCGGAGTGGATCCATCCTACTGCAAAAGATTGGAGCTTAAACAAAGGCACAACTCGACGAAGGCCCCGGGCCGAGATGAGGGTGATTTCTAGCCAGAATTTGGTCATTTTTTCAGGTTTTCCGGTGAGAGTTCTTGATGCTTTGGTTTTTTTTGGGGGGAGGGGGAGGGGGGAGGGGGGAGGGGGAGGGGGGGGGGGGTAATAGCTTTTGGTGGTTTAGTAAAGGTGCGGGAAAGTAAAAGATGCCAAGGATACTTTTGATAGAAAGGTATATTGAGAGAAGGGTGCATTTGGCATACGGATGCATCCATAGCTCTAGAGGTGAGGTGCACCTTTAAATTTTACCATGGTATATAATTTTGATGTAAAATATTCTTAAGATTATCTCAAAATTTATTTTTATATCTAATTATAAAATTTTAAATTTTAAAAATGGTTAAAATCAAATAGATCTATAAATATATGAAACATCTTAAAAATAAACAATGTAGATAATATATTGTAAAATGCACTATTTCAGAGACTTAAAATCTTTATATTTTTCATGGTCGTACATCTGGATCAAGATGATCAATCAAAGGGTTTTTCAATATTAAAACTACCTTTTTCGATTGATTTTTTAGGTGCATTATAAGGTTGCATCCTTATATAAACTTTTTCCTTGGGGGAATGACAAAGAAAGGCTCCAACAGTACTAAATTACAAATATACCAAGAGATACGTTACCCCCATGGGAGTAAACTGTCCATTTGCTACCTCAGGTAAATCTCAAGTTATAAATAATTTTAGGCCCGGGGATATAATGTCTTGAGCGCAGCAATCAACATCAAAAAAGAATTTTTTTAGATAGCATGTTCTATGTGCTGGAAAAAAAATATCTCAAGAATGAACAAGGAATGTCCAATTTTCAGGAGGTAATACTTGGGTTTTGAAGAACTCGAAATTTATTTATTTTTGTTTGAAAATAATCATCTAGTTATTCTTAAGTTCCAAAAACATAAATTAAAAAGTTCATCCAAAATATGTCTTTTGCCCGAGGGAGTTAATATATAATGTGCTCCTATGGAAGCATGTTATACATGCGACAGATATATCCGATATTTAGCCTCTCAATTGCAGGGTGGGAAATAGGTCGGGTCGACACTGAGATAATGGACTTGACCGATTGGGTCTGGATTTGGGTCAAACTTGAACCCTATTAGGTTCAAACCCTAACCCAATATTTAAATCAATATTTAAATATGTAAGGTACATATAAATAACTATGTATTTTTAAATATAATATATTTTTTATTTCTTGACCTACATCTAACCTTAACCTAGTCAGGTATGGTTGGGGTCTTATACAATGACTAAATATACTAAAACCTAAAATTTTTATCCCCAATTTCATTTTCTGATAGCATTAAATATGTAAAATAAAGTACAACATAAAAAGCATTGCATACTATGATATATTTATCTGCGGTATAAAGAGGTAATAATCATTCTAAGCTATCAAATGTCATATCATATAGCTCAAGATGTATAACATAAACATGGTTAATGACACATCTCCTACTGCATAATTTTCAAGTGGTAATTGTAACCTCATTGTACCAAAGATTAACAGACTTCTATGTTGTAATGCTTTATATAGCAAACTATGGCAATGTAGCATGAAAAACTTGCAAATTAGTCATCTCCATCTTGACAATTACGGGTATGAAAAAAAAAATTGAAAATTTCAACTCTAAAAGTAATCTATCTTGTAAAACACTTTTTTTTTAAACCGTCCATTTGAAGAGTTCACAAATTCCCTTGAATTTGCACCTTTTTTTTCATGGATTAAAAAAATAAAATTCAAGTCTAAAAATAGTTCATTTTGTAAAACATTTTTTTGTACAGTCAATTTTAAGTGTTTATAGATTTCTACACAATTTTTAGATCTTAAAATTATGTAGTAGGAGCAAAAATAGATTTGATGGCCACTGAAAGGCTTTGTGGTGCCAAAACTGCATTTGTTCAGCTAGGTTTTAAGGAGCAGGTTCTACCAAATATCGTAAACCCACGGCTCTACAAAAACGGCACATTTTTTAAGACCTTCAAATTTACAAAATAAAATTTATAAACAAAATCAGCCCCAACTTTTAGTTAATTATAAGGGCACTTGAAAGTACATAATTAAAACCTTTTTCCAACTATTTGCTATGTATTGCTGTTTAAATACATAAAAAAAAATGAACAATAGTGAAAATGGAACACCTAAAAATATTCAAGTGGGATTTTACTTTTTCTTCAAATGGGATTATCAAATGGTAACTGATCTCTTGATCATAGTTATGAGAGGAGGGTTGATCCTTTGAGAGAGAGGCGTTTAAGCAATGGAGGAACCAAGAGGACCTTCTTTCCACCTCTTTTAACCTCACCTTCCTCTTCCTCTTCATTGCCAGTCCTGCAATAAATCATTGTTGTTGACTCCAACACATCCTTACCAAATCCACATGATTCAAAGAATAACCTGCAAATACCATACAAAAAAAAAACCATTTTCCTCTAAGCCTTGAAAAATAAATAAATAAATAAAAGAGAGAGAGAGAACAATAATGAGAAAAAGAAGACATTTTCTTCCTTCAAGTCTTTTTTCAAATAAAATAACTTTTCTTCTTTCAAGCCCTTTCAAAAAAAAAAAAACCCATTTTTCTTCCTATGAGCCTCTTTTTTTTATGTTTTAAATAAGCATGAAATATGAACCCCATTACACCCTTGTTCTTCTCAAAAAAATCCGCATTACATCCATTATTTCTTAAAAAGGTATCAATAAAAAATTGGCATTGTCTTTACATTTATTATAAAATCAGTTACGCAGGATATTTTCCGAAGGATGCAGTTTGTATAAGGATGCAACATTATTTGTAGAAACAAGGTTAAGATAAAAAAAAAGAAGAAGAGGATAAAGAGTAGCACATTTTTTGAGATTATATCAAATATACACCATTCAACTAAAATGTAAAGTGTATCTTAAATAAGGTTGCATCTTTATATAAACTTTTTCCTCACCCAAATATTATGCTTTAAACCATTATATTTTAAATCATTATCATTACTATGTTTTCCCATTTTAAACCCCGATATATCAGCCGATGTTATATAGTTCAGGACCCAACTGCTCTAAACTCTATAATATACATATCTTTGACATTGCTCTACGCACGACCATCTCTCAATTAAACAATAGTCATAACATGCGAGATCATAAGATCATTCATTATTGGTACAAGGAGATTACAAAGGATTTGAAATTTGATAAATCAAAAGTGTATTACGACATTCGAAAATTCTATTTTAGACTGTGTTCAGTCAATTACAGATCTCCAACGAATCTTAGAAAATACGTCCTGGCAACGGAACCCGGCCATGGGCTAGGTCTGAGTAACTTGGAACCGGTTCGGGCAAGGCAACTATCCCCAACCAAGCAGGTCGCAACCGAGCTAAAAAGGGTTTAAAAAATTTAAAAACAATCTCAAAAAGTCCCAAAAATATGAATAGTACAATTAAAGTATAACTAAATAAAATATATATTAAAAAATAATGAAAAAATGGATTTCTATTTTGTGCCTGAGGGTATTTTAGAAACAATTTAAAAATTAAAAAAAATATAAAATAAGTATTTATGGCCAAATTACTTCCCAACATTTTCTAAAACATTAAAAAAACTATTACAAACAATTATTTTACTTTTTTGAATTTTTTATTTTTTAAAGTTCCTGGCATGACCAGCTTAACTTGCCAAAACACTACCACCACAACTCGTTCTGTGTAACTGGGCAGGCCAAAGTCGACCGGGCCAATTTTCTGAACATTGTATCCAACTATTTAATTTTATACGTAACGGACTGTGACCTCTTTCTACCAAAAGTAAACAGTCCTAGACATTTCCATAAAATAACACAGAGTTGTCGTTGTAAAGGTGATCCGTGTAGCTTTTGAATCATGATTCCAATTTAAACACTTAAAACACAGACAATAACGGCCGTTATTCCTATATAACAGGAAATTTCGTTATTTTAAAGGTCCGAATATTTTAGAATTAAAAAAATATTTAATATAAAGAATTTCAAAGTTTATACATAAGAATGGGGCCATGCATTTGATATCAAAGGCACCAGTGGTCTAGTGGTAGAATAGTACCCTGCCACGGTACAGACCCGGGTTCGATTCCCGGCTGGTGCATGTTGCATTGCCCTTTTTTGTTATTATTTTTTCCCATTGTTATGCTCCCAAGGGAGTATACTATCCATTTACACCCTTGGGCAAAACCGATTTTAGTAGTTTTAGGACCACAACTTTTGCTGATGTAACCTCTTCAACCATGTGGGTGAGATCTAAATGTTAGAAGGCTCAAAATGTATTTATTTTTCTATTTAAATATATTCATCTAATGATTTTTAGGTGGTTCCCAAACTTTCAAATAAGAAATCTTCCAAATTTGCTTGAGGGAATAAGTATACAGTATGCTCTCGCAAAAGCATAGTATACGTGCTTTTTTTCTTATCGATGGACTCCCATCGACGACTCATCAAATTCACTACGGAGTCATTTTCGGTTTGAAAAGAAAAAAATGAAGCAATTTAGTGATTAGGTTGATTGGGGGCAAGACTTCATACTTTTCTTTTAATCTATAATAAAACTAATTTATATATAAAAATAATAAAAAGTTAAAAATAAAACTTTTAAAATAAAAAATAAAATAATACTTTTATATAAATATTTTTTACTTTAGGCCGAAGAGCTCCGAATCTAAAGCAGCAACACCTTCGCTTTAGTCTAGGCCTAATATCCGAAGGCTTTGGCTTCTTCAGCTGAAACAAAGTAAATTTGACAACACTGCAATCCATGACTTCAATTAATTGGAGCTGGGTCTCTCTCAATAAATCTTTTTTCATTTGTCTTTTTTATCTATTTTTTTTAACTTAAATGAACTTCAATCCTTAAATTGATTTCAAACTAGGCCTTTCACTCGGAAAAAAAAAAAAGTTCTCTCTTGTCTTTTTCATTATATTTTTTAAATCATTTAAATTCATTTAAAGCTAGGCCTTTCTCTCTCTTCCAGTTAGAGCCTCCTACATGTTTTGGATGTTTAGGCCAGTAGGTTAGTGATGCTTCGGCAGATAAATTTTGGAATCACTTAAGAGTTCTTATATATATATATATATATATATATATGAAAAAGCTCCAGCTAGTCCATGGGCCCATGGAAAGCCCAATAAAATCCAATGATAGAATTGTATTTTGTAATTGAATTTTAATTTTTTTTTTACAAATTTAAATTACTTGAAATTTGTAGCATCTATTCTTCAAAAATCTTAATATTGTAACCAGGACTCAAGAATCGCATGTTAGACAGGGGGAAATGGAATCGAATTGTATTGATTCGGATTCAAATTCCGAATTTTGATACCGAAGAAGGTGGTTTTTTTTTTAACGTTTAAACAGAAGAAGGTGCTTACCTCTCTTTCTCTGAGCAAAGGGTAGATATATCGTATATGTCTCTACTAGTAAGCACCCTGTTCAAATAAAAGCTTCAAAAATGTTAGAGAGAGAGAGATATTTATCTTATAAATGGGACTCATATTCATGTTCTATAATCCACATCAATTTATGAAATTTAATGTTCTTTAAGTTTATTTAGGAAAATATCATTAAAATGGTCAAATCATCTCAAAACAATCATACAGGACATTAAATCCAACAAATTTATGAATAAAGTGATTACATTTAAAACATTTAAGTATCTCCTCACATATTTTTTGGTAAAAAGTTACCAAAATGCTGTTCAAGGATGAATAATATAAATAGTCGTAATTGTTCCCAGTTAAAAACCCATAAAACATTTTCTTCAAATGGAATTTCTTATTTCAAGTTTGGAACCTAACACTCTAATAATTTCCTCATTTACAGAATTTGCCGAAGTTTTCGTGCCTTTTCATGATTCAAAATGTGAAGTAGAACTCGAAGCATTTTGGGTAATTTTTTAATAATAAGATTGAAAATGTTACTCAAATAAAACGATCTTATTAAACTAACCACTTCGTCGATAAATAAATTCGTTGATTACTCTTAATTTTTTAGGTGATTTGATCATTTTAATGGCATTTTTTGTTTATTTTATAATAGGTCGACATTTATGTTGCGATTACCGGTTCAGGCCACAGTCAACGTAGGATGAGCTTCAAAAATAAATAAATAAACAATATTTACCTTAATTTAGTTAAAGAAAAACGGAAAAAAAAAAAAAAATCAAAAGGCACAATCACCTGATGATTCTATTTATAATCATTCTTCCAATTCCCAACCCCTGCAGTGAAGGGAAGACCTGAAATGTACTGAACAATAACACTGTAAATATATAATACCCCACAATTCCCCCATCCAAAACAACAATATAAGAACCATCAAATTCAAAGCTCGCGCCCAAAAAAAAAAGAAAAAAAGTAATTAAACCCAAACCCAATAAAATATTACCGCAACATCGTGAATCGAGGCCGTTAATCCAACATCTGAAACTGCTCTCCCAAAGCCCACCAGCCGTCCATTCCAGCCCCAAAATGGAAACCCACCTCCAAACCAAAACCTCTCTGAAAAATTAGGGTTTTCAATTTCATCCAAAAAGTTGCTATTTTTGACAAAAACTGATACAAGAACAGAGCTGTGCTTTACAGCGAGCCCCAATTTCTTGATATCAACTGGTTTTACAGAGCCATCCTCCATGAATTGGGGAAAGAGATCGCAGGCTTGGCCTGTGGAGGTCAATAGGTCTCTCAAATGAAGAAGGTTTATGTGTGATGGGTTTGTCGATATGGACAGTGGGGGACGTTTCTTTCTCGAGAGAGAGGGGGAAAGTTGCAGAGATTTGATGGAGAGGGTGGAGAGATAAGCCATTGCAATGATTCCAGTTTTGAGTTTTGAGAGAGAGAGAGAGAGAGGATAGATATTTGTACCATTCCAATTTTTGTTTCATTGATTCATGCTGAACATAAATACTACAATGGGCGCTCTCTCTCTCTCTCCAAAGGCTCTATCTTGTGGTACATCTATCTCTCTCAAGGGTACATTTTCTAGCCCAACCTACCCCTCCTCTCTCTCTCTCTCTCTCTCTCTAAGTTACATTTTCTAGTGTACCTCTCTCTAGGGCACATCTCTCTCTCTCTCTAAGGTTGATTTGTACCATTGCAATTTTTACTTCATTGATTTATATTGAGCATGAATACTACTGTACTAGCAAGTCTAGTATAGCTCTCACTCTCACTTTCTCTCTCTCTCTCTAAGTTACATTTTCTAGTGCACTTCCCTTTCTCTCTCTAGGGCACATCTCTCTCTCTCTCTCTAAGTTACATTTTCTAGGGCACTTCCCTTCCTCTCTCTAGGACACATCTCTCTCTCTCTCTAAGTTACATTTTCTAGTGCACTTCTCTTCCTCTCTCTAGGGCACATCTCTCTCTCTAGGGGAATGTTTGGTGTGTGAGTAAAAGAAGACTACCGCATTCATTAACAAAGAGCCAAAATTTGTATGGTCAAAATTTTATCGTTAGTCGTTATTGACCAAACCACTCTCTCTCTCTCTCTTTAAATAAAAGATGAAGTTTTTATGAGGCCCAGCGTTTATGAAAACAAAATAAAACCCCATCTCAGATACTCATTCACCAACGGAATCTCTATAAAACAAAGCCCCATCTCACGTCCTCATTCACCAACGGAATCGGCTCTAAAATCAATTTTCAACATAGATAATAAAATTTGAACTTTAAAAAACATATAGATCGTACGGATCTATGAATACTTATTTTGGGGTGAAATGGACAGCCTAGATAATTTGTTATAACATACATTACTTTTAGAGCTTGAAATGTTAGTTTTTTTTTTCGTAACCACAATGTTCAAGCTGAGATGATCAAAATAAAGGTTTTTCAATGCTTGAATTACAATTTTCAATCAGTTATTAAGCGAGGCTTTACTTATTTTGATAGAATTGCCGCTCTATCTAACCATTTTCCTAAATAAATTTATATATTCCAAATGAGTAATTGTCGGGACACAACTCTCTCTCTCTCTCTCAACAACAAATATGTTCAGCTCTCTGTCTCTATTTCCATGTGTTCAGCTCTTCCTCTCTTCCTCCCATATGTTCATCCCTCTCTGTCGAGCCGCCCCCCCCCCCCATACGTTCATCTCTCGCTCTCCCCTTATGTTCACTTCTCTCCCTTTCTTCCATATATTCAGCTGTCTCTCTCTTGCCCCATGTGTTCAGCATGGGTTTTTGTGTCCTTGCACATAATGGAAATCCAAATGCCCAAGACAAGAGTAAGGCTCAGTGAGGATATCTTTTCAAAAATGGCAACTTCTCTTTTCTTACATTTCAGACAACGTGGTTTGTATTGAATTTTAAGAATGAAGGCTCGTTACAAGAGGCCTCAAGAATGGACAAAGATATATTATATACATGACCAAAAATGGAGAAGAAAACCAGAGAGAGAGAAATAGAGTACAATGCAGAGATAGCGAGTCCATCCAAGTCACGGGCGCCAATCCACTCACAGCTGCAAATCCAAATCCGGCTGCTGGTCATCAGGCGACGAAGGAGGCCTTTGCGTCGTTGATGAGGATGAAACATGAAAGCCAGAGCCCCCCACCCTCCCAAAACCATCAATTTGCATTGATGACAACCCCCACTCTCTACCCCTCTTCTGCCCACGTCTCAACCCCTCGTTCTCTGTTGGTTGGCTCGCGCATGGCCCCACATCAGTCAACCCGAACCCCCGGCTAGAGCCCATCATAGACCCCCAGCTCGAGCTTGCCCCACCAATGGCCCGATCAGCTCCCCCTTCTCCGACCATGCACAGATCGGTGTAAGGCAGGCCTGTGGAGTATGCTTGGCCTCTGGGATTTTGGGGTGCGTTCAACGTCTCAGAGGTGTTGGTTCGAGACATGATCTCGAGAAGCTGAGATTGAGAAACTACGGAGGTTAAGGAGCTCAACGTTTCTCTGGATGCGTCGAGATAGGGAATGCTGAGCTCCCGAAATGGAGGATGGTCACGTTGGAGAGAGAGTTGGTTTGAGAGGGCCTGGGTGGACGGAAATTGGCAGGGAAGTTGATTGGAGAGGGGTTGGGTAGCTGGGAAATGACTGGAAGGTTTTTCAGTCAAGGACTGAGGGACCAGAGAAAGGCTGGAAAGTTGGTCAGAGAGGGGTTGCGTGGCCGAGCAATGGTCGGAACGTTGATCTGAAAGGGCTTGCGTGGGTAGAAAATGGCCGGGAAGTTCATTATGAAAGGGTTGAGGGGGTGCGAAATGGCTGGGAAATTGAACGCGAAGGGCTTGGGTATCTAGGGAAAGGCCAGAAATTTTACCAGTAAGGGGTTGGTTGGGATGGGGCTGAGGGGGTTCATTGGCCGGAAAATGGGCAAAAAATTGATTGGAGAGGGGCTGGTTGGCATCCAAATGGCCAGCAAATTGGTCATTGAGGGGTTGTGTGGCTGGCAAACGCTCAGAAAGTTGATTGAAGAGGGGTTGCATAGCCGGAAAGTAGCCATAGACTTGATCGTTGAGGGGCTCAGTGGCTGGAAACTGGCGAGAAATTTGACTGGGAACGGGTACAGTTGCCGGAATACCTCCGAGGCCTGCTGCATTTTGTCCTAGAGCAGCGGCTCGGTCTAGGTATTCTTTGATCTTTCTTTGGGCCACCCTTTTGGCAGTTGGCCCCAGGTCTGCAGTGAAGCGGGTCAGGCTCTCTATGTAGCTGGCCTGCGGAGGAGCACTCTGCAAATTCAAATGAATAATATTATTATTTATATAAAAATAAAAATAATATTAATTATGATGATAAGAGATCTTATACTAATGGTCATGATGTTGGCGATGATGAATTCACAACAATAATGATAAAAATTGGGATGATGCGAACAATTAAGGTTGGGTATTTAGTAGTGCTCCAGCAACTAAGCTGAAAAATAATATTTATTTTCTTATAGCAGAGTTGCAAATGAATCATCAAGATTCAACAATAGTGTGCACATATATGCGTGTTTCTGCATGTTCCATCTCATGACTGAGTTTGATATCTTGGCCTCTAAAACAAGCAATTTGTTTGAAGTGATACATTTGCACTGTGGAGTCTATTTTTTAAAAGTATATTTTATCAGAAACTTTTTGATTGTCAATAAATGCAAGAGCATCAAATTACTGTATCTCATATAAATTAAGCACTTACGGGGATGATCTGTGGAGGATTCCCACTTATGGTAGATAAGAGGGAATCATTCTGAAGGAGCTCAGGCCTGTAAGTTGATCGATGCTCCTCCGGAAAGCTTGCCCTCTTTCCATCTCTTGATCCTGTAGATAAAGTTTGATAAATGAGCAAAGTACTCGAAAACCTTGAGCCTTTAGGACTGAGTCCAGTCTTTTAAAGTGTTACAGTCATGGTTGTATGATGACCAGCCCAGACATGCATAGGCATGTCAATGCATTGTGCAATAATAATCAAGAGCGTTGCTAAAAGCAAGATAAGAGACGCATCATAATTTTCTGGATTTATCATGTAACAAGTTCTGACTAAACCAAGTCAAGATTCGTACCAGCAAGCTCTCCGACACCACCCATTCTTAAGCCAGCACTTGGTGTAGGATTAAAATCATCTGGACCTCCAGCTTCATACCCGCTGCTTTCGGCCCTCTGTTTTCTGGATCCCTTTGTAGAAGCAGCGGGTTTTCCCCTCTTAAATGGATTTCCCATTTCAAGTTCTTGAGGATCTGTCCTGAGAAGATGGAAGGTCTTCTTTGCTAACTCTTGGATGGCCCTCGCCTAGAAGACAACCATTAATTTATTTATTACTCAGAAGCAACCACCTTGTTCATATGATTAAGAACCATTTGTTCATTACACTCAAACATCATTATTATTTTATAAACTAAGAAGTGGACTATACCATAATCAAATAGAGTACGGGATATTCTTAATCTGAAGGGTCATTACATTCCAGGGCCATGGGCAGTAATGATGAGTGAGTGGGCCCACCAGAACAGGACATGCTCCAGTGGTGGGACCCACTCCACCATCCATCATTTGAATGGATGGTGATGACCCCAATGAACGGCGGTCTTCTTTTGGATTGTAGTATGCTTCCCCTTCAAAAAGTTCTGGGTAATTTACCTGCCGGTAGTAGACAGTACTTGACCCGTTGAAATGCATGGCGTTGTCGAATATCAAAAACACATCTTTCTGCAACCACCAAATTCTAGTGAATTTTAATTGCACAATCCTTTTCCAAACAACCAACAAAGATAGTGCTTATAAACAGACTTTGAATTCCATTTCATGACTCTTTATTGCACATATAGGATACTAAACTTAGAGCATAAACCTGGATTGATCACAAATATCCAATGACAGTATACTCTGTATTTACATTCCAAGAATTGGCCAAAAAGTAACACAGTCCCTATTATATTTGTTTAGATCTTTGTTCTAAAGCAGTTCAGAAGTAACCATTTGTATCTAGAGTCTTAATGGCAAATCTCTCAAAGAATCAAGAATATAGTGTGGCTTAGCCACTCACAAATTTCATTTTCTCTCAAAAAGATTAAGAGACTTCTAATCTAAATTATATAAATCATGTCAAAATGCATTTCCAGGTCCAGATGACACCATTATGAACACCTGAATGTGATATTTTCAACTGGATCAAAATACGATGACAAATTCAACTTGTATGTTAGGGAGATCCTCACTACTGGCAATACTAGTGAATCAAATAAATAGAGATGAAACCAAATATTAAAACCAAAAGAAAAAAATGAAATGATTCTAGTCTTCAACTCTCAAGCTTCGGGATATTCCTTATTAATTAGTCATTTTCCTTTATAAGACTCTATATGCAAAGATGATACAAGGATCAATTGCAAATGAAACCCAACTACAAGGATATACCACTAATCACAAAAAAGAAACTAAGATGCAAACAGTCCAAGAGAAGAAGAGTATAAGATACCACCTCAAATTGCTCCAAGGTCTCATACATTCCCTCTTGGAGCTTTGCCCTCATAGTGCCAAAATCCATGGGGTTTTCGATGATATCGTAGTACCCCTCAACCTGGAAACACATTAAAAGTCAGAATCATATGGTTTCAAACAATAGAATAAGTTAGAAAAAAGAAAAAAGGTCAAAAGAATGAGACAAAAAAAAGAAAAAATGATATTCCTATGCAGACCTCTTCACCATTGACAGGCATAGCAAATATGTCGTGGGTATCTTTCCTGGCATAGGAAACATAAAACACAAAAATGAGAGATCATGTATGGATTGCTTTTACTTCAGGATTGAGCGGTGTAATACCATGTCATGTGTAGCCCATAATAAATTCACCCTTCCCACTTAGGGAGAAAGAGACAAAACACATTGTAATTCCATGGACTATTGAAAAATCATCATCTATTGGGTCATCACGGTCAAATGAAATGATAAGACAGTGGTGAAGAAGGAGCAGAACCGACCGTTAAGGTCCTGTTCTGGCACGTCCCACTTTCTACATTACCATTAGTGATTTCATTGGATGGTGATGTCCCAATAGAAAATGTTCATACCACAGTCCAATGGAGTATAATATACTTTCCATAAAGTGAAAAGGTCACTTGAAACCCATGGTCAGAACTAGAAAGCAAAACCCATGAGCAATAAACTTACTTCTGCAGAATATCAAGGATAAGCTCGAGAACCCGTTTTTCTGGCAATGGAGTTGCATCTTCTGGTGATGCTTGGTTGCCTAACACATAATCTATGTTTAAATATTTAACAAAAAATGGAACGTCTAGTATTGCGAAAATCTGAAAATCAAACTGCGAGATTTAAATAAGATTAAAACAATTAAGGGCAATACCCATCTCATAAGAATGAAAATCCTGGTCAATGTCATGCTCCTCAATCTGCAACATATGGTAATAATCAGATTGTATACTTCAAAAAGAAACCCAAAGTTTGTTTTACCCAGAACATTTTTGAAAAAAAAAAAAGACTTTAACACATTCAACATATTTATTTACTGCAACAAACACTCCTCCGTGAAGATTAAACAGAGAAATTGCGCTGTTGTGCAAATCCAGCTGCCCTTATGAAGATAATATTTCTCATAGGATCCAAGGGAAAGCTGGAAGAAGTTAACGGCAAAGGAATAGCCTAAGAAATACCATAAAACTCTAATCAATGCTAAAGTCAGAAACTCAAGAATAGACACCCCCCCTCTTTCTCCCTTCCTCCCTCCCTCCTCTATTTGACCAATCCAACAAGCCATATGCACTTTTGCAAATAGGATAAACAGATTTTCATTATAAACAGTAAAGTCCCTTAAATATAATTGCTCATCATTTTGCTTCTTAATGGAATTAACAACGAATCATCTTTCGGAGTTCATTTTAAACATCTGATCTATTTCGTAAAACCCAACTCATACATCAGAAAATCATTTTTGATTTGTTTGGCTCAAGAAAACGAGGAAACAAAATCAAACCAAAATGACAACATACAAATAAGTTTTGATGCACATGAACAGGGTTTTCTTAAAAAGAAATTTCAAATCAATGGTTTTAAATATGCAAATGGATAAATTAGATTAATGAGACATGGGTTGCATTTGAACTGTTCCTTTAGAAATTAAACCATTTTATACCATTGTAACACTCTGCAACATGGCTTGGGCTTAACTGGTTAGCAGTTGACATTATCTCAAGTTCGATTCCTACCACTGAACTACCCAAAAAAACAACAATCTGCAACATGCAAACAAGCATCCCATTCAGTTTAATACACTGAAGATTTTATCTTTTTTCATACTTACAATACAGAGTGTGTGTGTGTGTGTACTGTATTGTAATAGGAAAGCACAAATAAACTATAGCCATTCTTACACTGAGCAGGAAACAGGGCCTCACCACTCTGAGTACAAAATGGCTATGTAAAGTGCATCATTAGCATGATCTTTCAAAAACTATGCCTCATTATCATCATCATCCAACAGAAATGCATTAAAAAATAAAAAAAATAAAAGAATGATCTACACACAAATAAGGTGTAAAAGATCAGTCATCATCATAACATAAAATCAAAAGCTATACTACAGCTACAACTACAACAACTACTACTATTACTACTACCACTACTGCTACAACTACTAATGCATCACCATAGCTATCAACTCTATCAAATCCATAGTATTGATAGTTGTAGGAAGACTGCAACTCAAATTTTTTTTGCTCTCTGCTAATGGTGTACCCAAGCTATCTACCAACAGACTTATATAGCCCAGATTTCACCAAACCTAATTAATGAGTCTTGGCGTTTAGCAATTAAAGACCCACCAATAGCAATGCAGAGTCAGCTAAAATGAAGAGAAAAGATAATCACAAAAACTAAAAAAGGGCAATGAGTGACAAATTCACAAACTAAATATGGGATAAAATAAAGTAATACTTATCGAAAAAACTAAATATATCACAATGAGTGGCACGCGGAACACACACACTGACACACTAACATGCACAATATATACACTATAAATAATGAAAAATAAGACAATATAAACAAAATAAAGCAATACTTGTCAAAAAACTAAATATAGCACAACGAGTGGCACGTGGACACACACATACACATACTAACATGCACATACACACACAGACAGACTAATTAAAAATAGGACAACAAGTGGCAAATTCACAGAAACTAAAAATAGGATGAAATAAATCAATACTTATCAAAAAAACTAAAATTAGCACAATGGTGACACATAAAGATTCTCCCAAAAAGATTTAAGTTTCACACTTATCAAAAAAACTAAAATTAGCACAATGAGTGACACACACACAGATTCCACCAGAAAGAATTAAGTGTCATACAGTTTGCACAAAAATAAAACACTAAGTGCATGAGAGAGAGCGAGAGATGTTACAAAAATCAATTTAAGTTCAATACATTTTGTACAAAACTAAAAGTACAATGAGTGGCTTGCACGTGTGCACGCACACACACACTAACTAACGAAAAATAGGACAATGAGTGGGCAAACACACGGAAACTAGAAATAGGATAAAAGGAAACAATACTTATCAAAAAATCTAAAATAGCACAATGAGTGGAATAGTTCGGGAAAACATGGGGACTTATGGCCTCACTAAGAGTATGGTCTTTAATAGAATAGAATGGCAGACCAAGATTTGTGTAGCCAACCCCAATTAATTGGGAAAAGGTTATGAAGATGATGAGAATGGCACATATTGTGGGTGCACGCACAGACACACACAGATATGATAAAAAACAATTAAGTTTTATACATTTTGCACAAAAAACAAACTAAAGATAGCACAATGAGTGGTGCACGTGTGTGTGGAAACAAACACCCAGATGTCACCCAAAATAATAATAATGATAATAATAATAATAAGTTTCATACCTTTTGAACAAAACTAAAAATGGCACAACGAGTGGTGCAGATACACACACACATGCAGGCGCGCACATACCCACAAAGATTTAAACCAAAATCAATTGATCGAGTTTCATACATTTTGCCCAGAAATAAAAAACCCAATGAAAAATTCACGGTCAAGCAAAAGAAGAGAAGAACAAAGGAAATAAACAAACTGAAAATTAAATAATTGGATTTTATAACACCCAATTAGTAAGCCTCATGACATTTTGCCAAATTAATTGAAAAGCCGACAACAATAATGCATAATCAGGTAAAGTATACAGAAAACGGAAGTGCACCAAATAAAATAGAACAATGAATAAACTAAAAATATGATAAAATAGAACAATACTTTTCAAAAAAACTGAATGAGCGGTGCTCACATGTGCTGAGTGATTTTACCAAAGACTATTATGTTTTAAACATTTTGCACAAAAACCAAACAAAGAATGCACAAAACAAAGCAAAAGAAAATAAAAAAATAAACAAACAATCAAATACAAATATTTCGATTTTGCCTCACCCAATTAGGTGACATTTGGAAGATTAATTAAAATCCTGACAATAAAAATGCAGAATTAGGAAAAAAGAAAAGGGAAGTGCACCAACTAAAAACAGAACAATGAATGAACTAGAAATAGGACAAACAGAAAAATACTTAAAAACTAAAAATATCATAATGAGTACATACACATTTACACCTGTAAAGAGAGAGAGACAGAGACCAAGAACATCAGATTAAGTTCCATACATTTTGCAAAAAATTAAAAGATTCAACCAAAAAAATACAGAGTTTCATATATTTGTACAAAGGAAAACATGTACACACACACAGCTTTTACTGAAAACAATTAATTAAGTTTCATATATTTGTACAAAAATAAAAGACCCAACAAAAAATGCAGAGTCAGGTTAAGGAAAAGAACAAAAAGGAAATCGACGAACTATTAAATAAAACAATTTGATTTTACCATGCTCAATTAATAAACTTCATGACATTTGGCAAATTAATTGAAATGCTGACAACAAAAATATATAATCAAGTAAACTTAAGTGAAAAGGGAAGTACACAAACTAAAAATTGATCAATGAGTAAACTAGAAGTAGGATACAATAGAACAATAATTATAAAAAACTAAAAATAGCACAATGAGCACACAGCACTCTCATTCATGCACCCACACCACAATGAGCGCGCACGCGCGCACACACACACACACATAAAAGTGTACACAGAGAAAAAAGCAAAAGAAAACTGAAAATAACAAATTAGGAACTAAAATAATGAGAGAGAGAGAGATTTTACCTCAACCGTTTAGATTAGTCTCACAACATTTTATGCAAAAATAAAACACTAAACGAGAAAAAGCATAATTGAGCAAAAAAATATAAAAAATAAAACAGGATATAACCTAAATTTGAGTGTGAAGCACAGAGAGAAAATTGTCACACTCCATTTATTAAGTTTTTTCCTAAAAATAGAAGATCCAACAGAAAATGCAGAACCTATCAAACTTAAAGTAAACAAAAAGTGAAGTGTAATAAAGTAACCAACCATGCAACACAATAATGAACCCGAAGCAGTAAATCAAAGTGAGAAAACAAATCAAGAGGAACGCATCACAGAGAGAATGAAGCACTAATAGATACACAAAAACAGAGAAATATATATAAATAGAGAAAGGTATCGAGGGAGAGAACAAAGAGAAAAGTGCATAGAATAAAAATGATAAAATCGCTCAGTAAAAGAAAAAATATACAATCCTTTGCGATCACTTAAACACACAAACAGTGATGACCTTCTCCAATTATTATCCACTTCTATTTAAAAAATCCAAAAAAATAAAAAAATAAATAGGACACGAGAGACAGAGACAGTATGAGAGCTGAGAATGACAGAGAAAATCTATAATCTTTTGCAAATCACCGGATGTTATAAGTAGCAAAATCACTTGAATATGCGACTGCATATTGTAAGTAAATATGCTGTCGGATATCATAAGTAGCAAAATCACTTAAATACGCGACCTTGTATTGCAAGTAAATACAGAATATTCTAAATAGCAGAATCTGCATTGCTGCTATAATCTGTTTATAAAACAGTACTTCAATCTATATATATATATATATATATATATATATAATTGGCAATCACATTGCAACTATTACCCATTTATGTTTGAAAATTAGTGATTTAAAAAGTAGAGGAGAAATTTTAGGAAAAAAAGAGATTAATTTAAATATATACCTTGCCACTGTCATAATCTTCCTCGGGATGAGAGAGAGTATTGTTAACTGAAATAACTGCCCCTTCATCAACAACTGATTTTAACGACCTCCTCTTCCTGCCCCTACCCCTGCTGCCCGAAGGCCTGCCCGAGCTGCCCGGGAGCTGGTTGCCGCCACCTTTGGGCCTGCCTCTGCCCCTGCCCGTAGCTGCCCGGGGGGACCCCACAAAATAATTCAAACTCTTTTCTCTTTGTCTAAGGCGACGACCCTCTTCTTCCATCACCACTTACCAACTATAATATTCTGTTACTGCTGTTCTAGAGAGAGAAAGAGTGTGGCTCTTTAGAGAGAAAAAGATTGAAGTAATATGAATTCTTAGAGAGAGAGAATTGGAGAAATGGTTTTTTTTTTTTTTTTTTTGAGAAATGTGGAAATGGGGGGTCAAGATTTTGGAAAATGTGGGTAAAGGGGAAATATGGGGATCTGGATAATGAAGTGGGGAGGTGGATTTCTCTGTATTTTTTAGAGAGAGGAAGCTTTTAGAGAGAGATGAGTTTTAGAGAGAAAAAACCCCACGGTCACGTCAAGAAAGGGGTGATGTGACCGGGGGTTTGAAGGGGCTTTTCTCCCCCTCTCTCTTGTTTTATTTTCTTTTTTTCGTTTGGGTTCTCTTGAAGTTGCAGAACGAGAAAAACAAGGGAGTTTGAAAAGGGGAGGTGGGGATTTTACCCTTTTCTCCCTCTTTTTTTCTTTGTTTCTTTCGCTTTCTCTCTCTCTAAATCTTGATGTGGGGAAGGTGGGGTTTGAGCTTGGGTTTAGAGAGAGAAAGAGAGAGATGTGAGCCGGCAAAAGCGCAGGTCGATGTCTCTTGGCAGAACGGACCACGAGGGAACAGTACCACACAGTAATGGAGAATGCGTTAAACTACGGTGAAAAGCTCTCCATAGAGAGAGAGAGAGAGAGAGAGAGAGAGAGAGAGAGACTGAGTGGTAGAAGGGGGAGGGGGGTTGCCACTACTATTATTGGCTTGAGACTTGGGGCAGGGAAATGAGATTTTTATAATGGAGCTTTAGAGAGAGAAAAATGTTTTTAATGGAGTAGAGAGAGAGAGAGAGCAGGGGGGTTAATATAGACCTCTAATAGAGTGCAAGACAGAGGTACCTTTTGGGGAGGGGGAAAAGTTTTTACTTTTTTTACTGAGGGATTGTGTCCAATTTTAGAGAGAGAAAGAGACTTTCTTACCAAGGAGGGACTGTCCAATTTTAGAGAGATATAGAGAGAATATGGTGTCCAATTTTAGAGAGAGAAAGAGGCTTTTTTACCAATTGGAGAGAGATTTGGATTCTATTAGAAGTTTTTTGCAGTTTTGGACTGTCATATTTTTTTTTTTTTTTTGGGTATAAAGCTTAGCATTTTATGAAAAATTAAAAGAGGCTTTAGAAATAACAATTAAATAATAAATAATAAGGAAAACATATGTGTTTATTCAAAGCTTATATCTTTCTTACCTAGGAGGGAGAGGGAGTGTCCAATTTTAGAGAGATATAGAGAGAGAGAGATTTGGATTCTATTATAAGTTTTTGTAGTTTTGGAGTGTGATATGTTTGTTTATAGATGAGCATTTTTTTGAAAAAATCAATTTAGAAATAACAATTCAATAGTAAATATTAAATAAAGCATATGTGTGCCTATCCAAGCTAATATGAGATCTTCAACATACTGTAGAATGATACCTATGTGTACTCTTTACTCAACCAAACAGAAATCATAAGGTTAATCATGTGCTCAACAATTATATATTAGTAAAAGTCATGAAGCCTAACATTTGAAATTTATTTTACAAAATAAAAAAAGGAAAAAGAAAAAACATTTGTAGTGAAATATATTAGTATTAGATTATTTTTGCCCACATGCATTTGGGTAAGTTTACAAGTGGACTTTTGGAACCAAATAAATGGTGTTTTAAAATCTTCTAGTGCCTGTTTTTCTAAATTTTTAGATGGTAGGAATAACTACCATTTCTAGCGCTTTTTCTGACTTTTAAATGTTAGAAAAAGCTACTATATTATACGTTTTCTCTTGAAGATCCAAATAGTATAACTTTATAAATTTGCAACTCATGTTCTCTTGAGAGGCTTAAGTAGAGAGTGAAGATGAAATCTTCTCATTGTTTGTAGTAACTATTTGACTTGAACTATAGAATTTGTATTTGTTTTATTTATTCTAGATACAATAAGAAAAATGTATATTTTCAACACACACACATTCTCTCTCTTTCTCTCTCTTGGTCCCTTCGTTCCCACTGATGCAGGTTAAATTTTTTTACCGTATTGTATTTATCGATTTTTAAATTTCAAAAACTACGAGGCGATAACGTCAATATCAATGCACCAGCTATATTTGTCGAAAAAGATTAATGAACTACAGACATTTTTGCAAGGCCACACTTGGAAAATGATAATTACAGCGTAATTACGATACCGTTTCAACTACTTTCAACGCGTGGCCGCTAACCTCTGTCCATCCAACTCAGGCGTGTTGAAACGATTAGGGGAATCCCCCTATTTTTCGAGTACGCCAAAACCAGCTCACTACTCTAATTTGGAGCCATTACATTAATGACACGAGCGTATTTTCTGAACAAAATGGGCACGTGACCGCCTAGTTCTGGACGATGAGTTGTACCATATCATCGATAAATTCGAGATTTCAAATGGTTTGCATACTGGTATGATATATGTATCACATTGTTCAATGTGGTACACATTGTTCAGTTGCCTGATGTTGATACTAACCAGTCCTCAGCTCAACTCCACTAGTGCACCGGAAATGGTTAGCAACTGACCTCCATTGTTTTAATGGACAATTGGTGGAACAAGTTGTACATTGAACACTATGGTACATTTAGCATGATATACTTTTCCAATTACTTAATATATCACTAATTTGAATCCTAAAAACACAATTTGTAATATTCCAAACACCCCAAATAAGCAGATCTAAAACACTTGTGGGAGGGATGACAAGCAGGTGCATATACCGCATTGTTCAAATTGTACATGTAGCATACTATTAAATTTGGTAAATGTACTGCAAGCCATTTGATGCTATTTAGTGGAAAAGAGGAAACCAGACTATGTGCATTGTTCAATTTGTATCTCATGGTACATGTACTATACTATTTAGTTTGGTACATATACCACGAGCTATCTGTCATCATCAACTATTGTTGATGCTAGTCATCAACAACCGACTCAAATGTAGACGTAACTAACAATAGCCGTTCATTGTTATAATAGACAACTGATTGAACATGTGTCAAACTGTGCAAAATGGAACATCTACCATGATATACTTTTCTAATTCTTTAATTAATTTAACACCTAATCTATACTATTGATAGTTTTTTCAACCAGCTCTGCAAGCAAGTTTGAGTATTCCATTGACCATTTTAAAATAGCCTTTCTCCAATATTGGTTTATCGTGCAAGGGAAAAATATTGTCGTAAAAAACGAAAGGATGCAACTTATATGAGAAGGAAAAAAAAAAAAAAATATATATATATATAGAAGTAAGATTGCAATGTTCTACATCATTCATTTTAATTGTTTGGATAGATTTGACACGTCTTTTTATGATGGTTAAATTTTGATAATGTTTTAAAAAACATGTCAAATCCGACTAAAATGGGTAGGTCATATTGTTGTTACCTTACTTCTATAGGTAGAGTTACTGTCTTATATGACATTTATCTTAAAAATAATCATCCAATCTATATAAGCTTTATCTGAAAAATAATCATCCAATCTCCACACAGCACTGGTGGACATCTTGGAATTATTGACAATGAATGAGTTTTAAATCACCGACGATGTTACATGGACACGAGTACTTGTGTTATGGACACAAATACGACCTTTCATAATATTAATCTCCAATCTTGTCTTTCAAACACAAGTATGTGCATTGTTTAAATCTTGTCTTTCAAACACAAGTATGTGCATTGTTTAAATCTTCTCTTTCAAACACAAGTATGTGCATTGTTTAAATCTTCTCTTTCAAACACAAGTATGTGCATTGTTTAATCTAGGAAGGACGTGGGATTTTGGGAAGCATTGAGTACTTTAGGAAGGGTTTTTTTTCTTTTTCTTTTCTTTTTTTCTTTTTATTTTTTGGGTGAGTCAGTAGGAAAGGCACCCTGAACTAGGTAGAAATTGAGCTTAGGACATAGAGTTGCAAATCGTCAAGCGCTAACCAGTTAAGCCCAAGCTCTTTTCCTAAGGTGCATCTTTATTTTTAAGTATTTGATATGGATGTGTGTATGTTAACACATAAGCAAAAGGGAAAAGTTTATATATAGAGCCGAGACTCTAAACAATCAAATTGGAGCCTACCATAAAACGTGCATTAGAAGAGGTTGTTTTGATGTCCAAATATTCACAAATTGATCATCTCCATCAAGATGCATAGACATGAGAAAAAAATGGATTTCAAGTTTTTGAAATAGTGCATTTTGTAACGCGTTTTGTGACCGCCTATTTTCAAGATTTTCAAATTTTCATAGATCTGTCAATCTACACTGTTTTTTAAGCTTTAAACTTTACAAATAAAGAGAGAAATATATTTTAAGTTGATAACAAAGATTTTTAGTATTGAAACCACATTTCTTGACACTATTTGAAGGTAGGCTCGAATTTGATTGTTTGGAACCTAGGCTCTATACAAACCGCACCCTATAAAAAATAACATAAACAACACAAGTCCATGTTACATAGAAAATAATTTCTAACGGTATTTTTCTTTGGAAACAACCTTTCTGCAACTTGCTACTACTTGTATAGTGTTGTTACCTTCAAACATGGGAAGGTAGAATGACATTTCAGTTTTATGATACACTAGGAACTTAAGAAATTTTCACGGTCCACGGTTAATAAAATCGTACCTAGAAATAAAGAATAGCGGCGTCAATGGACTCAGACCAGCCTCGGGATTCGAGGGGTAGACCTGATTCGGGACTAGGTATGGGTCTAAAAACTAGACCTAGTGGGTCGGGTCCAGGTCCAAATCTTGAACCCCAACACTATTCGAGTAAGAGTCTAAGTCCGGGTCCGGTAATATTTTTTGAGTCCTAATATATAAAACATATTTAAATATAGTTCAATACATAAATATTTTAAGTTTTTGGGTCTTGTTGGGGTCAAGTGCCGGACCCGTTGCCATCCTAATAAAGAACCCATGTGTCGAAAAAAAAATTGAAAGATGTCATATGTCCTAGAGCGAAACATACATTTGCTCCATCAGACAAAGCTTAGGTAGGGGTAATTTAGGACCCCAGTTTGTTAGAGCACGACTTTCTCAACCTGGTGTTCAGTCTCAGTGAAAGGGGGAACAATAATAATAATAAATCAAATAAATAAAGGAAGGAAAATAATCATAATAAATCAAATAAATAAAGGAATAAGTTTATATCAGGTTGTAACTTTATACAGTTTAAATACGATGCATTTACAAACTCATCTAAAGAGAGTGTTCCATGTTGGAGAACCTTCAATCTGATTATATAGACCTTGAGATATATGAATATGAAAAAAAAAAAAAAAAATTTCAAGTCCTAAAACAGTGTATTTTATAACAAGTTATCTAGGTAATCTATTTTCAATATTTTCAAGTGTTTTATAGATCTGCTTGATCCATACCATTTTTTTAAAAAAATTAATTTCATAACTAGGGGTAAAAAATAGATTTCCAGATTAGCATAAGGTTTCCGACAATTAAACTACATCTTCAAATAGGTTTTAAAGGTGTGCTTCAATGTAGTGAGGCCCTTATACAAACCTCACCTATAAATAAATACGCACCCTAGATTATCCTAAAACAAATATGTTTTAGAGTTGCATAGAGAGACCGCCGACTTTATGGATGGTCAAATCCACGTATTTAAAATCCCTTTTGACAAGGGACTGCATACTATGAGACCATTTATCTTTATTACAAGGAAGTT